AATGCATATTGGCCAGCCCGTGACAAATAATGCATCAAATAGTGGGCACAGAATCCCCATCATGCAATGCAACCTATGACCAATAAGGGTATGGCATCATAAATTCCTTAGGTTTTCAAAACCATACATGTGAGAGTAATTGCAGGGACCCCCATTGCATTGTGCCTTAAAAATGATGTTATTGCCAGGACCAAAACAATTGCTATTTCAATCAACTTCGTGGGCCTAATCTGGCACTCATATGTAAATGTACCAAAATTTATGCGTGCACCACATGTATGGTAGAACAGACGTGAGAGATGTAGGACCAATTTGACCCGAATGTAAACAATCAGTAGCTTTGATGCAGTCATCAAGAGGTCCCACAACCCATACTAGAAGAGAATGGAGAAAGGGAACGAAAAGGATACAGCGTTCATGCCTCACTCTATCCAGGAAATTAAGAAGGATACAGAACCCATCAGGGAGCGGTTGTTTATTTGTTAACATCTTAACATGATGAAGGCATGGTTACTTTTTGGAAAGAGCCAGGAAGCATTGAAATTCAACACCATGCTAACAGCATGAGCTAACAGCAGGAGGGCTACACATGAACACTATTCTGAAAAGAAAAGAAAACTAAACACCATGCTAACAACAAATTCTAGACACAAGGACTGCAATCTGTTATAACCACAGCTTTTTTGAAACAGAGAGGAGAAAGGGTCCTATGTTCTAAGAACCAGGCTGCAACCACTTTTCTCCTCCTGTGGTTCACTTGTATTCCAGAATCATGTTATTCTCAGGAGCTAAGCCAACACAAGCCCTTAGGATGTTCTCAAGCATTGCACGTTGCTTTGATAGTGCATTCACCACTGGAGTGTCTGGTGGAACCTGTTTTAGGCCAATACAGCAAAATTTATCAGCCATTTTACCCATAAGAATCTAGCACTTTGTACATGACGAGAAAGTAACCCCAATGTGTACCTCACAATTCCCATGATTCCTTTTACATTCTCATTACTAAAGTTTTTCAAATTTAATCAATTTTATCCCCTCTTCTTAGATCTTTCATGTGAACTCATGACCATTTGTCGCATCAATTATTTACTTATCAAAGAGACCCCAATAAATAACATCATTAGTTTCCTAATTTCCCATTTTAGTTATTTCAGTTATGATTTGTGACAAGTCCAACATGGTAATTGTGCAGATGGAAAAAAGCACATACAAGAGGGGCCTTGGTAAGGTAACTAAGAATGGTAGCCACAGGGTGGAAGGAGTGGAACTTGCCCTGCAAAACAGAAATTCACATTAACATTACCTATAGAAATAAATTAAAAAATTTCAGGAGATTTGAGGTTTCTACTAGCTAGTTAATGACACACACCTCCCAGTCAGCCTTGAGCTGGATCCTGGTGCTGAGCTCTGCAAGAAGAACCAAATCAAGAATGATGGGAGCAGCCAGCAGAGAATCCTCACAAGTGTTGTGCAGCACTATAGTGTTCCTGCCTCCCATGAATATCTCTGATGTGTATTCATCCATGGCTCTCTTGCTATCGCCTACATATGGCACATACTGCAGTACAAAATTCCCATGACAGTAAAAGTGTTAAGATATGACAAGCAGGGTATTTTATAATACTTAATAGAAATAAGAGGTAAAATTTTACCTTAATGACCACAACATGGTCAGGATGCTCGCCAGGCTCATAGAGAATACCATTGCTAGCGACCATGTCATCAACAACGTTGCTCTTGGAGATCTCCTTAGAGCGGAAGGTTTGAGGAGCTGACAGATTCATGCCATCATTGTTTCCGAGATGGTTGTAGCTCACTATTGATGTTGGCTATTAATCATCACAAGCACAATTACCACTAAACATCAATATCACATCATACTTAATAAAAGATAAAAGGGATATGTACTCAAGCCTAGCAGCCTTTTGTACCTTGATACCAGCGCCAACAAGGAAGTCTACCAAGACAGATTTCATCTTGGTCTGACCACTCTTGAAGTCATCTCCTCCGATCAGACTGTTCCTCTTAATAGCCAAATCAATTAACCCTGCATCCAAGTGAATAAATTGAAAGTAAATTACTTATTTCCACAAGCTTATATATATGTAGTAGCAATACTTAAAAGGAAGATTGCTTGACTAGACTAGGAACCTGGAACAAAGGTGTTCTGTGGGCTTCCATTGATGAAAGGAACATTTTCAAGAATACAAGCAATAGCATACAGGGTGGAAGGAGAAATCTCTTCTTCATTCTTCTCCAGTGAAGCCAAGAGGCTCTCCATGGTGTCATTCAGCCCCACGATCACATTGCTGTACCTCTCAGTGTTGGCAGTCCAAAGCACAACAACCTTGTCCACCTTGTTTTTCTCCTTGAACTCCCTAATTGACAAATAAAATCCATTAATTCAAACAATCTACCATAAAACGAACAACCTCTTTCAATATCAACAAATTCTTCTCAATTTAAGAAAGAATTAGACCTAATATCCTCGATGACTTGTTGAACTTGTTCTTTCTTTGTCCCCTTGATGACATTGTTGGCCCGTTCACCTTGGTTAGCAGCAATAAAATCAGGATCATAGATTCCAGGGAGTGGGACCATGTGTTCCATGTAGGGCCTCAGCTGCTTTTGAAGATCAATGTCAAACACCTTGGCCCGGGCCATTGCATCAGCTAGGTTCATGTCATTAATGTCCCAGCCACCAAACACAATATCATCCGGGTTCACCTGAATTATCATTACAATTTAGCTTTAGTACATCTAGGAAAACAAAAAAGAAAAAAACCCATCAAAACTTAATAGCTACATGGATGCAGGTTCATTGTTCAAGTAACAGGTACCTACCATAGGGAGAAGGCTCTTGAAAGGAGCATAAATCTCCTCTCCATGATAAGACCCAACTCGGATACTTGATGCTTGAGTCAGAGAGCCAAAATAATTGGCTTGCTGCACCTTGTCCTTGGTGGCCCAGGAGATTCCTCTGTCAATATTATATAATACAAAAAGAAAAGAAAAGAAAAAACCAACAACCATTAATAAAAACCCAATTTAATTATAAACTTCATGCGAAGCAAAAAGCAGATAAAATTGGGGGGCCAAGAAGAAAAGGAGACAAAACAAAACTCACTCTCGGTTGGCTATAACACCACCGGTGAGGCTTGAGCCGTTGTTTCCTCCCCATCCCACAAGCATAACTCTAGAAATTGAAAAAACATGACAAAATTTTCAGAACAGATTAAAAATTGAAACTTTTCACAAAAAGACGAAAGCAAAAGGGAAATGGGTGCAAACCCAAGTTTTGGAACACGGGTATCGGTCTTGAATTCATATTTGACGGTCTTGGGTTTGACAATCCATTGATAGGTTCCATTTCTGTTCTCATGAACAAGCTCTGTGGTTTCATAGTCGTACACTGAGTGAATCTCATTCTCAGTGTACTTCACATTCGGACTCTCTACCTTAAAGCTCTCGATAAACATTTTTTCCGGAGACTGAAATCAACAAAGAATGCAGAAGTTTTGAGGATGAAAATGAAGCAGAACAACGATTGTAAGACCCCTGTGAATTCAAGGTGGCGTACCGGAGGGGCGAATATATAGAGGAAGTGTGCTGCTTTGAAGTGCACGTGGCGGGAAGTTAGTGGTCTGTGTCCCACCGTCGGAGTTATTACTGGCGCTTGGTTTCGAGGGAAGCTCGGCCATGCAAACAAAAATACGAACATCAAGATTAGGGTAGATAGACCAGGGTCCAGCGCCATGGAGGGGGTGTGCTCTGAACCACAAGTATGGGTCACACACGAGAGACAGTGGTGTGGTGGTGACATGTGTCTTGGGGCTTTTACCAATTGGCGCGATTTTGTGGGCGGTGAATCTTGGAGTTTGTGAGTTGGGTCCCACGTCTAGAAAGTTTGATACTGTACGTTTCGGTTTTCAAAAGAAAATTTACTCTTTTTTTCAGCACAAGAAAATGATGTTAAAAAAA